TTTTGGTTGTTGAGGACTAGGCAAAACACGTCATAACCTCGGAAAGTCTGCTGTCATTTCCCTGTCACTACAGAATCACTTGCTTGACAGGGTCAAGAACTATCCTAACATAACACAGACTTATGATTCCAAATCTGCCAACAAGCCAACCCATTACCCCTCGGATTGTCTGGAAGTCTAACACGCGATTGCTAGCACCCTCATCCTTAGCACCTACAACAGACTTCGTTAACACGAGTCCCTTCCAAAGTTGTTCCCTCTTTCGACAACAACCCGCGATATGAAGCACAAGAAGCAGAAACGCGGGCTCTTTCTGTACACAAGCAAACTCCCCGAGCCAGCAAAAGTCCATCCAGAAAAGAAAGACCACGCCTGTCCCGAGATCAGAAACTATCTTTTCCCTTCCAGACCCGAAAACCCGGAGCCATGGCTGAATCGCCCGGAGCTGCCTTCTTCAGCGGAGATCATGGGCATTGCGGAGGAAGATGAAGACGACGAGAACTTCGTTGACCTCGCCCCCAACAACATCTTCGGTCCCTGGGAGTCGGAGCACGCGTACCTCAAAGCACATTATGAGCTGCTGCGAGAGGATGCAGTCGCTCCGCTGCGGGATGCCGTAGCACATGTTCGCGAACACCCAGACATGATGGAGAACAAAGTTGCCTCGATCTACGAGAAGGTATGTCACTTTGATGCTATGGGTCAGCTCTGTGTCTGGGGTTTAGATCTCGGCTCACATCTACGACCGCCAGGTTTACATCATCGGTGTCACTTGCTCCCCTAAGGGGCTGGGATTCCGGATTCAGTTTTCAACACATCGAGCGGGGAAGAATATCGCTTGGGAGTACTCGAAGCGTCTGATCACTGGATCCATTCTCGCCCTCTGCCCGGCAGACGATGTCTTTCGGACGCAATGTGTCGTCGCTGTGGTGGCGAGCAGGGCTCTGGAGAGTGTGAAGATGAAGCCTCCGCAGATAGACATCTTCTTCGCGAAGCCTGAGGATATCGAGTTCGATCCCCAGAAAGAGTGGCTGATGGTCGAAGCGAAAGATGGGTACTTTGAGTCGGTTAGACACACGATGACGGCTTTGCAGAAAATCGACCAGGAAAGGTAAGTAGTATTGTATTCTTTCATCTCATGTCCGGTCTTTAAACATGATATGCAGTTTTCCTCTATCCGACCACATATGCCGACTTGATCCTCAGATCGAGCCCCCGGAATATGTGAAAAGCAACCCTCGCGTCGATCTCCAGGCAATAATCGAGGAGTGCGAGGAAGACAGTCGAATTGACCTGCTTGCAGGATGGCCATCGGTGCCGATTGGAGATCGTGATGCAACCCAATGGGAAGCCCTCCATAACATGCTGACCAAGCGACTGTCCATTGTACAAGGTCCCCCGGGGACTGGCAAAACATATGTGTCAGTTCTTGCGTTGAAGATCTTGCTCTCTAACATGAAACCCAATGACCCGCCCATAATCCTTGCCTCTCAGACGAACCATGCCTTAGATCAGCTGCTCAGACTGGTCTCGCTCTTCGAAGAGAAATATATCCGTCTGGGCGCGCGCAGCTCGGATGCCGGTGTCAAAATGCGCACTCTCTTCGCTATTCGAGCAAACGAGATGGCTGTAGTCAGTGGCGGTGCGGGGATAGCAGCCAGTTTCGACTACAGAAGACTTACCAAAGAGATAGCCGACCTCTTAGAGCCATTCGGGGCCGAGCACGCGGGTGCGCCGCTATCGTCGGAGTTCTTCGTCCAGTACGGCGTGCTGACTGAGGCTCAGCTAAACTCGCTCAAAAAAGGAGCAGAAGACTGGATCAGTTCTGACAAAGAAGGCAACATCGATCCTTTAGTCGCTTGGCTAGGGGAAGAAGCGGTGCCTTTCCAGGTCGAATATGCAGAGGACAACTTCGGATTCGCAGAAGATGAGATTGACCTCGAATACGAACAGTTGAAAGAACTTGAGGCGGAGCAAGGGCTCGAAGACGACGGTTTCGAGTACCTGAAAGGCCGCTTTCTCTACATTCTTGACAGCATGTGTGGGCGGAGCCATTCTTTCCCCAGTGCGTTACCGTCGAGCCATGCCAAATTCGCGGACTTGTGGAAGGCCAAGCCAGAAGCACGAGGACACATGTACGACTCAATGCGGCAGCTGCTCAAGGAGAAAATCACAAAGCGGCTCCGTGAACTTGCCTCCAAGTATCAGAAGAATTGCAGCTGGATACAAGCTGGTCGATGGGAGCTAGATCATGCAATCCTTCGAAGCGCAAGAGTCATCGGCATGACTGCTACTGGCTTGAGCAAGTACAGAGGTCTCGTCTCGAGTTTGAAGCCCAGGATTGTGCTGATTGAGGAGGCCGCTGAAGCAATTGAAGCCCCAATCGCAGCTGCATGTTTTGACTCTCTTCAGCACCTGATACTCGTCGGCGATCATCAGCACCTGCGAGGAAATTGCACTGTGCAAGACTTGGAAGGAGATCCCTTCTACCTCGATATCTCGATGTTTGAACGGCTAGTGAATAACAACATGGGGTACGTCACCTTGCGATGGCAGAGACGAATGCCCCCGGAGGTACGGCAGTTGCTAGAGCCCATCTACGGCACCCTCGAGGACCATAGATCGGTGCTTCATCGCCCTAAAGTGGTTGGTATGGGGGACCGCCGGTCTTACTTCTTCACTCATAATTGGCCTGAGACTCGAGACAGCTTTGCATCGAAGTTCAATGAGACCGAAGCACAGATGATCGTGGGATTCTTTGTTTATCTGATACAGAACGGTGTGCCTGTCCACGAGATCACCATTTTGACCTTCTACAATGGACAGAGAAAGCATCTGCTGAACCTTATGAAAAGACACCCTTACCTTCAAGGCTTGTACCTGAAGGTCGTTACTGTTGACTCCTATCAAGGTGAAGAGAACGAGATCGTTATTCTCTCCATGGTCCGTAGCGGTGGTGACAACATCGGATTCTTGTCTATCGAGAACCGTGTCTGCGTTGCGTTGTCGCGTGCCAGATGCGGATTCTATATTTTCGGAAATGCAAATTCTGCTGCAGTCAATAGCGACTTGTGGAGCCGTGTTGTCTCCATCATGAAGCCCCAGCGAGTCGGGGTGGAGCTACCCCTGACCTGCATGAAGCATAAAGAGAGGACTTTCATGAAAAGTGGGTTCCTCCTCCCCCTGACTTGAGATAGGTTCGATGCTAATGGTTCTTCGTCTTCACTCAGGCCCCTCCGAATGGGACTACATAAATGGAGGATGCTATAAAAAGTGCGGCGAGAAGCTCGACTGCGGCCATTTATGCAGCCTGAAATGCCATAGCTTCCCCCACTCGCGAGTTGTGTGCGACAGCGTCTGCAACAAGAGATGGGAATGCGGACACAAGTGTCAGTTATTATGCTCGTCCCAACATTCATGTTCGTGTACGAGTTGCCAAGTAGACTTGGAGACGAGTTACGCTGCAGCAACGGCGGACTTGCACGTCCCGGTGGAACCGAAAGCGGATCCCCGCCCCGAAGGCATCCGCGCCTACCAAGCCTATGCCAGCGGAGGAGTCAAAGAACACGACGCCATCTTGCTTGAAAAAGCTCGAGCCAGTAAAATGTCGAGCTCGCCAGATACGGATCTGTGCACCGCGATGGAGGATCTTATGGTGATGGATGACGAGCTAGGAGGGGCCGGCGGCAAGGACCAAGCAGGAGAGAAGGGGGTGAAGGCGACTCCCCGACGGATGTCGGTGTCACTTCTGGACTTGTACGATGAGTGAGATTAGAATACTTTCGCCGATGGGATATTTACTAGCCTTGCAGGAGAGGGTCTATCTCATTGCAGAGGTCTCAGTTGTCTACACCGTGGATACTATCGAGTCAATAGTCTTCAAGTCCATAGATTGTGAATGTGACCATAAAGGCAAAGATCAACACCACCTTAAACCAAGCTGATCCATCGATGATGTCAGAGCACATCTGCAGCAGCACAACTATTGGCTCGTGGGGAGTATTTCTCCCGCGGCTAAACTGCGATTGACAGGCACAGTCCGGTTTCTCTGCTCTTCTCGACACTTCCAACTCTCCTTTGCCTTGATTGTTGTCGACCAGGGGCCCCATGTTCTGGAACGCTCGATGCGAGATGGAGAGTATGTACTGTCTGTACTTGGTATGTATCTCTATGTCTGTACTGTACATAATCGCCCTCAAAATCGCTGCATGCACTGGGTCAGTTCATCCTCAAGAATAATTTAGGAGAATACTTTCAACGAGTAGTTCGTCCCTGAGAGATCCATAATTCTTAAGGTGCTGGAGATGCCCCCGGGCCAAAGGGTGGGGTGGAGCAAAGACGGAGATGAGACCATGGGTCGCACTCTACTCCGGAGTAGACTAGACTTACAGTACTCATTGTTGAGGAGAGGAACTGCTGATGCTTGCTTACTACAACAGTACTGTCTGTAACTTACCTATTCATTCACCCCTCCATCCTCCATCCTTCATCCTCCCTGCTTCCCAGTTCTCTCTTTTCTTCCCCTCTCCTCAAAGATCCTACATACACTACTCGTACAACACAACAAAACACCTCCCTGCAGCTCTGCTGGCTGGCTGGTAGCTCATCCCACCAATCGCCGGCCAATTTTCATCTTTGTTTCCATCACTTCTGTGTCCCAGCGCCGATGGAAGAGTCCGGAAGCGTCTAAGCAGCCCCTCGAGAGCGCCACAGACGTGACCAAACAGGCCGAGGCACTCCCTTAACACTAGCGGCCGATCGAGATGCACCTTTGTCAAGCTGTCATACAACCGCCCTGACGATAAAACCTCTTCCCTCTTGAATCTCGCCACTGACATTATTCTTCGTTCATTGCGCTGTATTTGCATCATCATCATCATCATCATCAGTATTCCAGTATCCATCCTCCATCAACAAACCTCATCATCGTCTCCATCCGTACAGTACTCTTGCAGTACACATACTACCTTTCCCCGATCGGATCTACCAAACCCACGGTCATGGCCGAGTTCATTCGCTCGCAGATCCTAGGAACCACCTTCGAAACCACAAACAGGCAAGAATCCCCACCGATGGTTTTTCTAGAAACCTGGTAGTAGTACCTAGTAGTTGGACGAACCGCTCCCCCGCAAGCTAAACTTTTAATTTCTCTAGATATGCGGACCTTCAACCGGTCGGACTTGGGGCCTTTGGGCTTGTCTGGTATTGGCTCCCCCTGTTCCTATACGTTCCTATAGTATCCTGCTGGTAAGAAGCAAAAAAGGGAATGGGGCACATGGGCTGACCCAAAAATAAAATCCTGCAGCTCCGCAAACGATCTCATCGCCCGCCAACCAGTGGCCATCAAGAAGATGATGAAGCCCTTCTCGAACCCCACGATCGCTAAGCGTACGTATCGGGAAGTCAAGCTGCTCAAGCATTTACGTCATGAAAATGTATGCTAGTGTTCCGGATCTTCCTTCCCTTCTTTGCTTTCGCATGCTAACGCGTTGCCACACAAGCTCATTGGCCTGAGTGATATCTTCATCTCCCCCTCCGAGGACGTGTAAGTGGGACCCCGAAACTCACATTACCACGTGGAAATAGATCAAAGTGGAGATACTGACAGGGACGATCAGGTACCTTGTCACAGAGCTTCTGGGGACCGATCTGAATCGACTCCTCACTTCCAAGCCCCTCGATGGAAAGTTTGTACAGTACTTCACGTATCAGCTTCTGGTAAACATCCCCGGGTTGTGCGCATCTTACTCATGCTAATGAAGACTAGCGGGGGCTGAAATACATTCATTCGGCTGGGGTCATTCATCGGGATCTCAAGCCTAGTAATCTCCTGATCAACGAGAACTGTGACTTGAAGATCTGTGACTTCGGTCTGGCTCGAGTGCAAGAACCCCAGATGACGGGCTATGTGTCCACGAGATACTACAGAGCGCCGGAGATCATGTTGACTTGGCAGAGATACGGCAAGCAGGTCGACATTTGGAGTGCCGGCTGCATTGTTGCTGAGATGCTGCGTGGAAAGCCCTTGTTCCCCGGAAAGGACCACATCAACCAGTTCTTCCTGATCACGGAAGCGTTGGGAAGCCCACCGGATGAAGTGATCCAGAGGATCAGCACGAAGACAGTAAGCTAGTAGAGTGACCCAGGTTTGGCTCAAGCTCTAACATCCGCCAGACCTTGCAAATCGTCCAGTCACTGGGCAAACGCAAGCCTCCTGTGTGGGCATCCCTATTTCCCGGAGCCGATGCGCAAGGTGAGTACGCCAGTAGACAAACTTGGGGGCCCTGAGATCTAACAGGTTGTAAATAGCCGTTGATTTGCTCTCCAAAATGCTCGTGATCGATCCCGACAAACGTATATCCGCTGAGGAGGCTTTAGAACATCCATACCTAGCTGTTTATCACGACCCTAATGATGAACCGGTCGCAGAGACGATGTTTGACTGGTCATTCCAGGATGCCGTCCATTCTATCGATGAGTGGAAGATCATGATGTATGTTCAAAGGTTATATGCGGCGAACCTTGGACCGACTGACATGAACCATAGATACTCCGAGGTGGTTGATTTCCACGACCTTGGACCAACGGGACAGCCCACTGTCGATCCAGGCGCATCTGCTGATCTGGCATTTGGTATTGATGGTGCAGCTGGTCTAGGCCCTCAGCCAGTTGATGGCATATACCAGACTGCTGTCGACAATATCGACCAAGACATCCTGCAATACCTGCAGATCTAGCCAATGCCACCCATTGGTTCGTTCTCATGAAAGCTATCAGCAAGGGAAAGTAGGTACAGGTAGTATCTATCACAGCACTGTGTGCAGATATTCCTGGAGCAGGTGACATCATGACACATGTTCCTTCCAAAAATACTCACCTCCGATTGTAAGGAGGTCTACCAACCCCACCCCTTGCCCCATTTGCTTTTCGATCACATGAACCTCGAACCACATTTACCTACCTATTCCACGAGCCATAAACCCATCGCTGCCCCATCCCTCTAGGCTGTTCATACACTCGTCGCAGCCACAGCGAGAAATGCCTCCATTGCTGCACCCTCCGACGTGAGCTACCTTCCTTCCAGCATCTATCCATCTACCTCGAAACCATCGCAGCATTGCATACGCAAATTACCTATCAACCCATAAGCTCCTCTCACATCCACTACCTTCGGCAATCACCCGGTCTGCAATCCAGACTCTAAAATGAAGGAAATACTTGCAATCTGGTCAATCATAATCAGCCTCCTCTGCCATATCACCTACGCATTCCCATCACTCAAAGGATCCACAATCAATTCGACAACTGCCTGGCAGATCTCACTGTACCAAAACAAACGATGCACCGGCCAGACCACATACTTCTCTGGAAACACCAGTCTACCATGTCACGATGCTATTCTCAACGGCGGTGCATTGGGATACATCGTGCAAATTGCCAACGGCTCAAACTGTTCGGTTGTGTTTTCCAGCGATACCCATTGCAGCCAGACCAATAGCACCACCGTCCATCTCAATTCGACGGCGTCGACTTGCCAAGTTATGAGGATCCAGGATCAAGAGATGCAAATCCAGCGGTTTTCTGTCAACTGTGGGAGCAATAGGACAAGGTTTTGTTTTCATGACCGTGTATGAAGTTTCTTGATGCAGCGTTGCGCCTTCGTTCTTTGTAGCTATTCTTAATGCAGTGGGAATGAGATAATATCTTTCTACCTGGACGCTAATGCTTGAGACATTTCAACTTATCGTGTTTCTATGCAATAGTCTACAGTTGATGGCTAACCGGGTTAGATCAACGGGTATCTACTACCGAGCATATGCATGCGAGATAAAAAAACCGCGATCGAACATTCTCTGATATACACATGTAACAAATGGTCAGGACACCGTCCCACTGTTATCCGCGCAAGAAAACACTCCATCCACGCTTCCATCTCTATACGCCTCCTGAATCTGTACCACAACACCATATGTTCCCCCGACCATCATGAACAACCCCAGCAGCACCAATCCAAGATGCACTGCAATCAACACCACTCTCAACCACCTCTTGTACCACGATTGCCCATCCTCCTCGCCCCGGTCTCCTCGACCATGATAAACATTCACATACAACCAACAGATCCCGGGCAAACTGATTGCCAACGGCGCGAACCCTAACGCCCCGACCAAAGCTAATACATATGTGAACACCGGGATGGCACTAGCCAGTATCCACGCTATAACCGCCATGCCCACAACGCATGCTAACCACGTACCCCAGTGCACAGGGGTGTTAGCCTGGAGGTGTCGTCTCCGCTGCGGGGAACCGCGCAGCACCCGGACGAAGAGATACTTAGCCGCGACGTGGACGTACAGCGCTCCGCTGACCAGCAATCCCGGAAGAGCGATGCCATACGCCACCCGCTTGAGGACGGGACCTGCACTGCCCAGCGCCGGCGAGGCGACCCATTTCCCGCAGTAGTGATACAGAACCAGGCTGAAGGTCAGGTAGCTGGCGGTGACGAAGCTCATGCACAGAGCGACAGCTTTCCGGTAGGCCCGGGCGGTGGGCGGGCGCATCTCTGCGATGACGGGGAGAAATGCTGAGGTCGCCGATGAGGAGACGAAGATGGTCGATGAGGCGGTTATGCCGGCGGCGAAGGTCGGGTGGCCGACTAGGTGGTAACCCAGGTCGAAAGGGCCTTCTTGAGGCGCCGCTGACGGTCGGTCGAGGGTGGTTACTCCAATGCTGTTTTCGGGTGTGTTAGTCATTTTGTGAAATGAGATGGGCGTGGGCTAGAGGGAAAGAGGGAGGGGAAAGCCCTACACGATGATGAATACCGCGGCGAGGATACTGAAAAACCCGACCCAGGTCAACCACCCGATGTGGGAGAACTTCCGCACACTAGCGCAGAGGGCGATGATGACGGTGGCAATTACAGAGAACCACACCGTGCACAGCGAGTGCAGCGACAGCGCGTTGAAGGCCGCCGATACCCCGATCACCCCTGAGGCTGCCGTGATTACATAGGTCATGACGAACAAGAACCCTACCACCTCTCGGAAGATCGGACCCCCCATCAACTGCGCCATGTCGGCGACCGTGTGGCATTGTGGGTAGCGTTCTCGGAAATCACCGAGCACGAGGGCGCCGTACGTGTTGAGACCGCACCAGCCGAGCACGTTGAGGGCCCCGGGGACGGCGCCTAGGTCGTACATGACCGAAGGAATCGAGAGGATGCCGGTCGCGAAGAGCACTGTGTGTCAGTCATTGATTAGTGGGTGATTTCGATGGATAGTTTGGGCTAAGGGGGAACGAACTCTTCAGAAAAATGGCTGATGCTCGTATCCAGCTCACGGTCCGAAAGTCCACTTGGCCTTCGCTTTGTTGGAAGACTTCTTCAAGCCCATCATTATTGGATTTGATGTGCTCGGTGTCTGCGACGGCAATGTCTTCACCAGGCATCGCTGGTGAGATTTTGATGTCTTTGCCCTCGTTTGCCATCGTCGTGGTTGAATCTCAACTGATGTGAACAAGAACAAGGGGGGGAAGAACGCCCCTTTCAATGCGGGGGGGGGGAGGTCGATCATTCTTATACAAGCATGAAGAGTGCGGGATCAAGCTGCATGAAGCTGCAGGGCTGGCATGGTATGTCTTGCAATAATCGATTATCCTTGATGATAGCCCTGTCCGATTCGGTAGTGATTGATGGCTTCACTCCTACCTAATGGTGGAGGTTCCGATAACAAACGGCTCACTATCTCCTCAGTTGGAGTAATGTTATCAATTTGGAGTAAGTGACATCCCTGCCGTATCGATTATGCAAGGTGATTGATAGGGAATTGGGGTAGTGCTTGGTATCAATGTAAATGCTATAGCAGCAGTGTGATTCAGTGCTGGCATGCATGTTCAAGGGGTTGTTGAGCCGGTCAAACAGTTTAGGTAAATCAGGTAATTTATGACCCATCTTTAGCTCTAGCTTCCGCACCAATGGAGTTCCGAAGCTTGTGGGCAACGGTCGGAACGGCGCAGGATGTCTCGACAGGAACACATGTCACATTTACTTCAGTGCTGTACAGTGCAATCTACGAGAAAGCCATCGTTGGGTCAAGCTTTCGCCGACGATGATCAATTTCGCGCCAATTGTCTATCAGCAACCTGGTTGGAGTCCTCTTACCCCAACCGCGATAAGACCCTGTGGCTTGGCAGTTGGAGCAATCTTCTGCTTCTTCCAAAGGTTTCCCCGCCTCGAATGAATTATATTCCTCGTTTAACATGACTGCAGGGGTCAAGCAAGATTGTGATATGTTGTTGATGGACTGTGTTGTTCGCGAGAAAGTTTGTTGAGATCACCACTCACCATGTCGGTTCTATTCACCTCCATCTCGCCGTATGTACACCACCGAACCACCATCTAACCTCGGACTTCGCTTGCTGAAAAGACCAAACAGAGATAACCCAGTCAAAAAGGAAGATGCAAACCAGCTTCTCCAGAGACTCGGCCTCTCCGTCAGCCCAGAGGAGGAGGACGACTTTCACACGCTCCTGGCCGCCGTGCACGACTGTGCAGAAACGGTCTCCAACCTCCAGGATTACCAGCCCGTCCCCGATCTCGAACAATACCCTCGACAGAACGTTCGAAGACCTTCTTCCGAAGAGCAGGTCTTCGGCCAGGCATGGGCGCATAAGTTTTTGATTAAAGGCAACCCCGATGGAGGGCTCTTGGCCGGCAAAACCATCAGTTTGAAAGACACGATTGCGGTCGCAGGCGTGCCCCAGCTGCTTGGAAGCGATATCATCCCCTCCTGGACCCCTGTCACAGACGCCACGGTGGTGACTCGGGCACTGGCTGCGGGGGCCGATATCCATGGAACGTCGACCTGCGAGAATTATTGCCACTCGACCTCGTCGTACACGAGTGCGCAGGGGATCGTCGAGAACCCTTTTGCCGAGGGTTATTCGTCGGGTGGGAGCACCTCGGGCGGGGCGGCGTTGGTCGCAGCCGGGCTGGTTGATATCACTATTGGTGGGGATCAGGGAGGGAGTATTCGTGTGCCCTCGTCTTTCTGTGGCTGTACGTGCATTTGGATCAGCTACTAAGCTTCTATTGATGTGTGCTGATCTGGGGTTACAGGTGTAGGAATGAAACCGACTTACGGCCTTGTTCCGTACACCGGCATCGCCAGCGGAGACGCGATCAACGACCACGCCGGCCCTATTGCTCGAAGCACGCTAGATGTCGCCTTGTGTCTGGACGCAATCAGCGGCTATGATGGCATCGACGACCGATGCCTGGGCAGCCCACAGCCCGGCTCGACCGCCTACGCGACAGCGCTGCAGACTGAAGAAACCGGGGGGCGACTCGACGGCGTCCGCGTGGGATATCTGAAGGAAGGGTTCGAGCACGCTACCGTCGACCCCGCAGTCAAGCAGGCCGTGATGGACGCCGTGCAAAAGTTCGCAGAGCTGGGCGCGGTCGTCGAGGAAGTGTCGGTGCCGGACCACTACCACGGCCCGGCCATTTGGACCATCCAGCAGCGGATCTCGGGCTCGATGACGCTGCTGGGCCAGGCGCACGGCCGGCGCGGCCTGCACCTGACCGAGATGGAGCGCGAGCGGCTCCCCTGGACGCCCGAGGGCTTCCGGCGCGCGTTCCCTAGCACCAAGAACGTGATCATCAACGGCCTGTATCTCACCTCCCAGTTCCCCGATCTGTACGGCAAGACGGTCAACATCGGTCGCCGGCTGCGGGACCGCTACGAGGAGGTTTTTCGTGTCTATGATGTCGTGGTGATGCCGACTACGCCGATTGTCGCCCCCCGCCATGGCTCGCCGCGCGACCTGCCGGTCGAGGCGCTCCGGCCTAGTATGGGCCTCACGATCAATACCGCGATTTTCGATGTCACGGGCCATCCTGCTATGTCGATACCCGTGGGTCGTGCGGCTGCTAAGGATCATGGTGAGGTTCAGTTGCCGGTGGGGATGCAAATAGTCGGCGGGCTGTGGCAGGAGGCTAAGGTGCTTCGGGTGGGGCATGCTTGGGAGCAGCATTTCGATTGGAAGAGTCAAGGGGATAAGAGGTGATGTTGATGATACTTTCTAAGGGGGAAAATCGCAAGTACAGTACATATTTCAAGTCATATCATCATTGGACATAACATAACATTTCATGACCTCAATTTCATCATATCACGTACTGTCTACCACGAATGAAAACCAGTTCATCAATCGTTATTGAGCATAGCTTCTTAGCTTTTAGCTTTTGATGATTCTTAATTGATAATATACCCTCCATCCACCACAAGCGCATGTCCCTGCACGAAGGACGCAAAGCTCGAGCAGAGGAAGAGCACTGCATCAGCCACCTCCTCGGGCTTGCCCATCCGCTTCATGGGCGCAATTTCCACGGCCGGCCGGAGTCGTTCCCGGACTTCCTCGCTGGATGTGGTCATGGGAGTCTCGATCACGCCGGGACACACGCAGTTGACCCTGATCCCCTCCCGCGCGTAGTCAATGGCGTCGGAACGGGTCATCGCGATAATGGCCGCCTTGGAAGCACAGTACGCCGCTGTAATCCCCATTCAAAGGAATAGAATCAGCGCCCATCACGCAACAACTCCGCGATTTCAACATTGGGGTGAAAGAAGAACTTACGCGCCCCCGGCCGTCCCACGATCCCCAACTGGCTGGCAATATTGACCACCGCCCCGCGCGGGCCCTCGCGCAACGCCGAATCATCCTGGCAGGGCAGGGGGTCCTGTGCGATCATTTGTCTCAGCTCCGCGCGGGAACACAGCCACGAGCCCCGGTAGTTGATGTTGGTGATGCGATCGAAGATTTCGGTCGAGGTCTCGGTCGAGCGCAGCGCGTCGCCTAGTACCCCGGCGCAGTTGACTGCGTAGTCGAGGCGGCCGAACTTTGATACCACGGCGGCGATGAAGGATTCCACGAAGCTCTCGTCGGAGATGTCGCCGGCTTGGGCGAGGAGGCGGACGTTGGGGGATGTCGCGAGAATGGCTTCCTGGGTGTCGTTCAGCGAGCTCGGGTTCAGATCCGTGATTGCGATGCGAGCGCATCCCGCGGCGGCGAAGCTCTTTGCGACGGCTGCGCCGATGCCTGTGGATTTGCGGGGGGTGGTTAGCTAGCTGGTAGGGAGGAATCTTTGGGGAGGTGTTCTGTTTACCAGTTCCGCCGGCTCCGGTGATGACGGCGACACCGGGGAAAGTATATGTTCGTGGCATGGTTGGTTGAGGGACCGGCGATCGCACGGTTCAAAGAGTGTGGAGGGGTAAGTGAGGGAGTGAGTTGTGAGCAACAATATGCTATGTAGGGATTTGTTTATGATTCCCCTCGTCCCCTCGGTATCACCCTGACATCATCCTTTATACATATTCGTACATGGTAGATCGAATGGGAGGGCAGTTGGAGTCTTCTTCCCTGTCGAGTCTTATCGCCGACTCCTCGGTGGAGACGAAAGTGGCGGCGTTGGGGGAAGCGGCGGGTTCGGCAATCGTTGGAGTCGGTCGCTTTGCCTCTTGTGGTTGGATTTTCTCCTCTTTTTGCAAGTCTCTCACTCCTCCCCCTCCATCTTTTTGCTGCTCGCCCTGCCTTCTGCTCTCGTGCTTCTCCAATTTCCCAAATTGGAGAGCTAGCTCTGGTTATCTCATTTCTCCGTACACATCACATCCAACTCGCGCCTCCAAATGTCTTGATGCAGTCTCAGCCTCCCTCACAGCCTGTTCGGGGCAATCGTCGCTCGACTGCTGGTGCCAAATCTCGGGTCTGCGTCCATTGTGGCCGCAGCTTCCGCCGTACCGAGCATTTGGAGCGGCACGTTCGCACTCGTATGTGGCTTGCTTCGTGCTCCCCCCCTGCCTCAATTGCAGTTGCGATTGCAAGTACAATTGTGCGACAATGCGACATATCTTAGCGTCGAACGCCCTGCAAGGATCATGATGTTGCATAATGGCTAACCCCCAATCTTATCCGCGTGTGCAGATACCAAAGAAAAACCGTATATCTGCTTTTGTGGGGCAGCCTTCACTCGCCGGGATTTGTTGAAGCGACACACCAACATTGCGCATCCTGGCAATGGCTTGGTATCGCCCAATTCACAGCCTGAGACGGAGAGTGTAGAACCACAACCTCACCCGCGAGCATCCGAGCCCGCTCCAGTACCACCAGCACCACCAGCACCAGTTCCAGTTCCAGTTCCAGTTCCAGTAACAGCTGCAGCTGCAGCTGCAGCGCCGCCAGGGTTCATCGTCCCGCCGCCGACATCGCGCCCGGACGCACCTCTCTCAGTCCCGCCGAATGTGGAGCAATGGACCGGACCTCCACCACCGCCACCTCAACAACCTCCACGGGAGTCATATATCACGCCAGATCGAGCGCCCGTGCTTGAGCCTGTGAACCACGCTCCTCCAAGTATACCGCCGCACAGCGGCGTGCTTGGTCACGATGCGGAGGTTCTCGAGGCGGCTCAGCTCTTGCTTCCTGGAAATTACCGACATACTCCAGCTCCAGGTAAGGACTCGCCGTCTGGGGAACCAGCTTCACGGAGTCTGATATAAATTGAGAACTAGCCCAACCTATGCCATACCTTCCGGAAGAATTGAACCACTTCCAAGACTTCACCCATTTCCTCGACTCCATTGGACTGCCATCCGAATGGGTCCCCGCTTTTGGAGAAGTGCCTCAGATGCACAACCCAGTGCCAGCAACTACTGTTCCAGACATTGACCGGAACCATACTCTTCAACAGGATGCTCCACGTCGGAGTATCCCTGAGAGGTCTTCTCGGGGAGATTCGCCCTTCCGATCATGGCTTCCATCGGTGCCGCCTGAAGATCAGAGCCTTGGCTCGGTTCACGATTATGGTATGTCATCCATTCGAGGGCAGGTACGCGAGCTGTGATACTGACGTGAATTCTCAGAGCCACCGCAGAGTGCCAGGAGTAGTTCTTCCTTGAAGGTGACAGAGGAGCAGAGACAGCGTTTGGCTGCTGCGCTGGAGGAGTTTCGCTATTTGATCCCAGATTTCGTCCTGCCATCGCGCCATACACTGACCAGATATCTGACGTCGTTCTTTGACGGCTTCCATACCCATCTACCTTTCATGCATGCCCCGACGTTCCGGATTAATGACCGTGCGCCGGAGCTCGTGCTGGCTTTCATGACCCTCGGCGCCCAGTACCGGTTCGAACACCGCAATGCAGAACGGCTCTTTCATGCTTCCAAGGAGATTGTACTCTGCAGACTCTCGAAAGAGTCCCATGGAGTGCCATATAACACCATCGTTCAAATCCCCTTGAATCACATTCGCGATCCTGCACTGCCAAGCCAGGCATCCCCTCTCCCACCTGCCGAGTTCGCTACGGGAATGAGTGCGTGGAGGCAACTCGAAACCATCCGCACTCTGCTAGCCCTCATGGGATACTCCACTTGGGAGAAGGCTGAGCTCGTTCAGGAGGCATTCGGCCTGCAGAATCTGCTTGTCCGATGTCTTCGGGAATTTGGTCTGGCAGAGAACATCATCGCTGCTCCAAGACACGGCCCATTGCAATGGCACGAGTGGGCCGAGGAGGAATCCATCCGACGCACTCGCTTTATCTCCTTCTGTTTTGTTCACATCCATAGCATAGCCTATAACATTTACCCGGTATTGCGCAGCAGTGAGGTTCACTTGCGCCTCCCGTGCTCTACCAAAGAATGGAACGCAGCGACGGCTCACGAATGGGAGGCTGCGCAGAAAGAAGTCGGCTCCCAGCAGCTGTTCTTCCAGGACGCACTTGCCTTGTTGCTGCAACCAGCACGACATCCAGTGCCGCTGGAGCCGATTCCCGCGCCCCTCGGCAACTACATCCTTCTTCACGGTCTTCTTCAACGCATACACCTCGTGAGCGAGCTCTCCATACCAAATGGTGACCATTCATTTTCTCTTCCAACAGAGGAATTGAACAAACTCGAGTACGTTCATGATCTGCATTTTAAATGACATTGAGAGGCCCGAAAATTCATATCAGGTTTACTGACCGCGAATCTCGCCACAGGAGAGCTCTACGAACCTGGACATCAGTTTGGCAACAAGCACCCGAATCGAGCCTCGACCCTCATAACGAGAACGGTCCGATCCCTTTCACATCTAGCTCATTTCTAGGTCTAGCGTACGTTCGCTTGTCGCTGAACCTAGGGGCTTATCGTCAACTCGAAACGCGAGATCCATATCGTATCGCTGCGGCGCTGCATCGGTCGCCTCGCCCTAGCCGAAGCTACCAATTGACACCTGCGCTCATCTATGCGGCACACGCCTTGAGCGTGCCAGTACGACTGGGCATTGACCACGTGGCCCGCAGTCAAGCTTTCTTCTGGAGCGTTCGTCATTCAATTGCCAGTCTTGAATGTGCGGTCTTGCTCAGCAAATGGCTGCTGTCGCTGGCGGAAACCGGCGGCACTCAAAGTTTGAGCAGTACGGGCCCAGTTATAACCCAGAATAATTTTCTACCTTACGTATACTGACATCCAACTCAAATAGGCAATGAAAGCCGCATACTGCATTGGACACGCTGTATCGTCCAAGAGGCTTATGATTCCTTGGACCCAGATAAAGACGAGACTTTTCCGGGTCTTGACCCTACCAGTCTTGGCCTGGCAGTCATACAGCTGTGGGCTCGTCTGTTTCGGAAGAATACACAGTGGCCCTTCATCAATGTGATGGGCGAGAGCTTGGAGCAATACTTGGACCTGATTCGACCGGAGTAATTGCTTGCATACGGTTATGAACGGATCCGAACGGAAGATCAATACCATTCCCAACACAATTAAGCGCGAGCGCAGATTCCAGAGATAGCATTGACACCGGAACCAGCGTTGCCTGTTCACGTGAAGAATGGTGGCTCGGTGAACAGGTTGTGCACCATCCTTTAATGTGGGCATCTACATTATGAGACTAGTTCTAAAAATACTCCTCAGTGCCGGAAGTACCGGTATGCCTATCCTGACTCCTCTATTAGGAAGAATGGACAGCTCGGCTTGCCCGGGACTTGACTGCCGGATGATCTCATACAGTTGTACAGAACCGGCCAGAGGCAATAACTACACCGGAAATGAAGTCATGTCAACGAAAGCTTCCCTTCTTCGAAGAGGGGTACTAGTTCTTCCCGGCATAGATCATCATTCCGCCGGAGCTACTCGGATTCAATAGACAAGAGGATAATTCCGGACCTAGGCAGCAAAAGTGCTTGGTCTTGGTCTTAACTTCAATTCACAAAAGTCGGAATGCTAATAATTAAGAAATAAGATTACAGGAATAGGCCACAGATATTGCCGTTCCACCCAATCACTATCCAAACTTTCTCGTTCTACGATCATCGCCTTGAACCGATATATTGGTGATCCCTGGGGATAGCATCGACATAGGCGAAGTTGATCGGATGTAGTACCTTCCACTTGCTTAGAAGAGAGATCTCTTCGCCCAGCTGGGAGAAGGGGTCGCTGAAGCGGAAAGCGAAGCCGAGCTCGCGGCCGCAGCACTGGCAGACACGTTGGGAGCCAGGGTGGCGCCGAGAGGACCGATGAATAAGGTCTGGCCGCAGGGTGCGGGAGGCGCTGAGACACAGCTGCCGAGGTAGCGGCCCAGCTTGCCCTTCTGGCTACCGGAAGACAGCACATAGGCCGGGCTGTAGGCGGGGACCAGACCGGAGCTGTTGGCCGGGAAGAGGATGTCCTCCAGGTTGCTGGCCAGATAGTAGGCGTGCGCGGTGTGCTCAGCTGCCAGGCGGGCCCACAGGAAGGACACCTCAGGAGCCTGGGTGTAGCCAGCCAGGGCGATGTAAGCGCCAGCGACGGTCGATTCGAGGGTCAAGGCATTCTCGACAAAGCTCTCGGCGCTGCTGGCATTGGGGAAGGTGAAGCTGCAGTTGGGAGCCGTGAAGCCGGAAATCTTAGACCCGAGCTGCTGGACGGCACGCGTCCCCAGGCGGTTCAGGCGCTGGATCCCCTGGAAGTTGGGGTAGTATTCGGCGTCGGAGTCGTTGGTTGCGCTCTGCAGGAAGGTCTGGTTGAGCGGGACCTGGTTGTAGTAGCGGTCCAGGAAGTACGAGAGCGCCCAGCCGTACTCGACGACCTGAGCATCCGAGGAAGAGGGCGAGCAGCTCGAGTTGCTCTGTGCCAGAGCTACTCCGGCGAGGAGCAGCTGGCCAATTGTCGCGATGAAGCGCATGGTTCGATGGGTGTATACTGTGGGAGTGGAAGGTTTTTTCTTGCCGGTCTGTTCTGAGCTCGAGCAGTGTTGGAGCGAAGGGTGGATGTCTGGTAGAAGAGAGATCCCCCCCGTGATATACTTATATGTGGTCGGTGGGTAGCTGCGCGGTTCCGCCAGCGCAACAAGGTTTCCAGCACCGTTCGCCGAAGTCTAGAGTGTCGTCAAAATTCGCAAGCAGATGCAACGATATGATG